ACCCCCTCCACCCCCCTCTGCACCCCCACTGCCCGGAACATCTTCACCCACAGTGGTTTTCAACTCAGGATTAGCAGGTAAGAACACAGACTAAAACCCAGGTACTTGTGTAATTAATACTCGTCTGTCTTTATCTCCTGAGGCTAATGTAACTTTTTCAGAGTCCAGGTCTTTTGCTGTCACACGATCTCTTGACATTAAAACATTTCTGCTAAGGTAGCCTGTGATGGTGAAATTATTTCTTAGACCTTCTTCCATCCATCTTCTCTGTCCAAGTAGAGAGATGAAGGCAGATAAACTGCTTTCTTAAGGATGTTCACAAGTTCAGCAAACCATTCCGACTGTCGGCACAGAACTGAGTCCCGATGAATCTTTTGTATGAAATGAATTTGTAGTATCATCATAAAAGAGAAAATGCCTTTCTGCTCAATTACCTAGTATAGTTTTCCAGGCATTTCTTCTCAATATTTGAGGGCAGCAGAACTCACTATCGTGGATTTAAGCTTCAAGGAGAAATGCTGCCAAGGGTAGTATCTCACTGCATTTAATGCATATGAATTGTGAATATTGTCTTCCTGCTAACTAGGATGAAGCATATAGCTTCCTTTACTTACACTCCCCCCCCCCAACCTATGAAATAAAATTGGGGTAGAGAGTAGAGTGTGGAGTTGGAGAAGAAGACAATTGCTCTAATGCCTTAAAATAGAAGTTCTCATTTTTGACTCATGAAAATGCATTTCCACTTAAACACTGGAAGCTGTTTTATTCCATCATAGCATATTTTCCTGGCATTTGGCATTTCTCTGAGCTTTACCATCTTTGTGACACTGGGGCATTCTGCTCCACCATCTACTTGAATCCCTTCATAAGATTTCTGACTTTCGATGAAGAACTGCTACTCTAAAGGCTTCCATTTCCAAGGCTGCAATAGTTTTCAGAGTCTTTGCCTGAAGTCCAACAGACAGTTTAAACTGTAAAACATTTCCCAGTTTCTGCCCCTCAGAGTGTCCATCAGCAGCTTTACAAGCCAGTCATCATGGCTAATCCATTCTGTTGATCACTGGAATCCTTTTGGACATTAGAAAGCAACCATGCCACACTTGTTCTACAACCAATTTGTTATGTTTACTTCCATTCTTTGACTTCCATAAAATTGTCAAAGAAACAAACAAGATGCCTGTTCAAAATAATGTTCACAGTAAATTAGTGACTTATTTCCACCTTTCAAGGTCTTCCTGTCTACTACTTTTTTCTAGAAATTTTATTACTTCTGAAGAAGGGTTGGAGGAGAATCATTATGGAGTTATTGGATTTTGGAATGTAAAACAAACACATACCAAGCCATAGGAATATGTTCCATCAACAGACTGTTCTGAGTGATTGAGTGTGAAAACCTCTAGCCATCACCTGCACTGATCTTACTGGCTAGACTTCCCTCCCAGCCCATTGAGCATTCACTGTGAGATGTGTCTGCTAGAGTGGCTTGCGTTTGCTACTACCTTCTTTCTCTTTGGTCAAAAAAAAATGTATGATGCAGCATCTACTTCCAGTCGTCTGAGTTCTAACAGTGCTCAAAAGTACCTTGGTAGAATGAAAGCGCGAAGAAGCTGAGATATGCGTGTCCAGGGCTCCCTACTGAATGGGTCCTGTCCTATCTGGTTGAATTTGTGTCTGGCTTCTGCGCATTTATTATTTGTTAAAATTTGTTGACTTCTATTGGTTCCCTCAATTTTGAGGTAGATAGCTCTGTGCTCAGGTGATTGTTAGCTGCTTGCTGGCTTTAGTGTGAGGAACCTTGGTGATGCAGTAGGTTAAGTGTTGGGCAGTAAGGTTGGCAGTTTAGTGGGGGAAGGATGAGGCTGTTTGCATCTGTAAAGATTTACAGTCCTGGAAACCCTTGGGAGCAGTTGTACTCTGACCTTTAGGGATGTTATCAGTCAAAATTGACTCCATAGCATTGAGCGGGGTTGTCTTTAGGGTTGCTGAAGTTGGACTTAGCCTCCTTTGTGCCTTATGCATTTTAGAGGTTTCTGAATGGGGTTAAAGAAACTCCTCTTTAGCTCCTTAATTATTAAACATCATATAAGACTTTCTACTCAGACTTTTAGATAGCTTGAGATCAGGCAACTTCTTTAGTCTCTATTCAGTAATATCCTTAATTGGGCTGTTCATATTTAGTGTAGCCCGTTTTGTGAAATATTTTTCCCAGTGTGTTCATCTGTTTATCTGTCTATCTGTCTGAAACTGTTTATCTGTCTGAAACTGATAAGCTGGATAGGATAAAGATATCCCAGTAGAGTCAAGAGACAGGGCTGAGCTGATTGCCAAGGGTTCCTGGGAAATTACCAGGCTCTCTGGGTCTGCACACAGTAAGGATGTCTTTTCTCTTCAACAAGCAGTAAGCATGTGTGTTCTTGGTGGCCAAGACAGGACCAGAGGCAGATCCTAAGCTTACCTAATTGAGAGTTTCTCTTGCATTTATTTTATAGAGAAAATATTACAGCATTTGAAGTATAAGACTTGCTTCTTTAAATTTGTCATAGATCTGGTTCCCTTTACTGGGTTAGAGCATTAGTAACATGCCCCTGAGAAATCCATCTTGCTGTCTCTCGGAGAGTGTGCTTGGAACTTCAGAATAGGAAAGTGAACCTCTGCTGATTACTTTTTTATTTAAAACAATTGCTCTTATGCTCTAGCATCCTTAATGAAGTTCAATATGGCTGTTTGCGGCAACTGCGATAATTTCTTTTTTCTTTCCCTCTTCCAAAAAGGATTTTTTTAAAAACAAAAAATAAACTAAATGATGAGTACATCTTCAAGGCAAGCAAGAATGGAAATGAACTTTTGGCTCTATGCTGTCTTGTGAAATGTGTCCAAGAAGCATGAAATTCTATGCTAAAAGTGCGTGAACTGTGGAGCCCCTTGACGCTAACCATATCTAATTAAATTTTTATTTTTATTTTCTTTGTTCTTTCTGCTTCCACAAAGATGGGCCAATCAAGCTTTTCTGTAGGTTGCTCCTCACTGGGTGTGTTGCGTATTTACCATGTGTTCCTGTTGGTCACATTGTGCCTTGGCATCTTTCCGCTCCATCTGACTTTGATCCATCACTGCGTTTTCATTTTGTGTCTGCGGGCAGGTTTGGTGTTGGCTGACAGTTGCTCCAGGTTTGCCCAGATCTTGTAGTTGATACTCTAGAAGGGATTGTTGGCCTTCCTTTACACAGACATCCTGAGTTTCATATCCCACATTCCTTTTGTCCCAAGAAAAGGAATACTTTACTTTTCGTTTAATTTTCATAGTTAGCTTGAAGTCCCCAGGAGAGCTCCTTCACAGAACAGAAAGTGCTGCTGGGAGAATGCCCCTTTTCAGTCTCCTCTCTCTAGTATCTGGCACTCTCTGTGGAAAACAAACACTTACCCTAGCCCCTCTCACTCAGTCAGAGCCACTTTCTTTAGCCTAAACACTGGGGACATGGTGTATATTATAGTGGCCTTTGTGTATCTCATTTGAGCTAGTCCCTCAATCTGAGTCAGTAAAAGCTTTCCTTGAAGAACTTTCTTGCCTGTGTTTTGATCTCAGGCCTATTCCTAGTCTTGCTAAAGAGTTGAGAGTAGAGTAACAACAAATGGGATGGGAAGGTAGGAAACAAATAGTACCTACCTTATCACATCAGATTAGTAAAAGATCCCCTATGTCCCTTCACTCTCCGCTCACTGCTGAAGTGCCAGATTAGAGGAAGTTCTGTTCCTTTGTCCCATAATGGCCATTGATTTTCCTGGGGAGTGTAGACAGAAATGAAGTGGCAAGAAATGTCAGCATTTGTGGATAGTGGAAACTAAGGTATCACACTTGGTGGTGGAAGGGCCTAGTTTGGCAAAAGCTGTGTTTCCATGTTCTTGCATGCTTTTGTGTGGATTACTGATGACATTCCTGCTATTTGCATGGCCTTTGTAACTCTGGAGGAATGAGAGGCAGCTCCTTTTGTGTCCCATGTGAACTCCCAATGATGAAAGCAGCTAGGTGAAAGCCCAGTTGTTTATCACTTTGATTTTTGTTCTGCACTGATGCATTAGGAGCTCTCCATCCTGGTATAGTGCTGCAGGATAAGCACTGGACTGGTAACCTCAAGGTTGGCATTTCAAACCCACCAGCCATCTTGGAAAAACCTATACAAGGATGCTCTAAGTTGGAACCAACGCAACAGCAACACTCATGGCAGATAGTGGAACTCCCAAATAATGTCGTGAGGGTCCTAGGAGAGACTAGTGAAGGAGAATATATATAGCGAGATGGTTTGAGAAGGCTTCTTTATGATATGTAATTAATAAATAAGATTCTTTACTAATTTCCTTTTGACTCATTTACCCACAGTAAGAGGATTTAACATTCCTCTAGCTTCTAAAAGACCCCTTCCTCTCTGTTAAGAGGACTTTTGTGTTTTGAATGTAGTCATTGAAGCCTAGTTTGACAGAGCTGAGGCCTGGAGAGAACTTGTTCCTCAAACAAAGAGAAGAGACTGTGGCCATTCCTGAGATACATTCCGGTATCTTGATTTCTAAGTAGTACCTCCTCTGTCTTCTTAAACGTATTCTAATTTTAGCCATTCATGGCCCTTCATTTGTTTTAAATAATTCAGCAGCAAATATAAATATCCATTATCAAAATTATCTTCAATAATGTATTACTCTGACTACAAGTCAGCTTTCTTGGTGTTTTGGGTGGTTGAGACAGCCCCTGTCTGCAGTCTCTGAGCATCTTTTTAGGTTTGTTTGGAAATATACATACTCAAGAACCAAGAATTTAGGATGTCAAAATACAACTTAGACTTACAAATGTCATCTGAAGTCACAGAGCGTTTGCCCTATCTGCCATCCAATAAAATTGCTAAAAATTTTTGTTCTGAAACAGCATAGTTGTCTTAAGCATTGTGATGTAGCAATCCAGATTTGTGCTTTTTTTTTAAACACTGGGGCCATTAGACAGCTTTAACACTACGTTGTGTCCAGTCAGCCAGACCAATAACTCACATCACTCTGGCCAAGACCAGGCTTGATATTTTCTCTGTTTGCAAACATATAGGCACCTCTTGCCAACCTTCCTCCAGTGTTAAAGTGTCATCTGCAACGACTGTTGTCTGATTATTCCTGAGGTCACAGGCTCTTGGTGGGATCTTAATATCATTCTTCTGACATCTTTAGCTGTGAAAATTAAGAAGCCAATCAAGACCAAGTTCAGAATGCCGGTTTTCAACTGGGTTGCTCTGAAGCCCAATCAGATCAATGGCACAGTCTTCAATGAAATTGATGATGAGCGCATTCTAGAGGTATTTTTATTTTTGGTTAGAAACACGGGGTTGTTCTGTTCCAAAGAGCCACAATAGGTGGTCTTTGAACCTGGGAGTTTCGGTGACAAACAGTCTTGATGTAAAAAACCAAAAACTTATACAGTATCAAGGAATAAAAATAAACACTATTTTGTAAGAAGTTTAGAAAACTATGTTTAAAAAATTATTTAAAAATTAAATAGTTGTGAGCATTAGTGTATGCCACAACATATAGACAAGGGGGCTTCAAAAGCTTTGTGGAAAAATTGCCTTTATCTTGTAATTCCAGTTTTTCACAAACCTTTTGAAGCCCCTGTATCATGATATAGTCCCTGCCTATAATTTATAAAAGGGAATAAAAAACCTTTATTGGGCCATTGTTGTTGTTGTTGTTAAGTGCCGTTGAGTCGGTTCCGACCCATAGCCACCCTGTACAGGGTTTCCAAGGCTGTAAATCTTTACGGGAGCAGAATGCCTCATCTTTCTCCCGTGGAGTGGTTGGTAGTTTCGAACTGCTGGCCTCAAGGCTCGCAGCCCGATTCCTAACCACTTCGCTACCAGGGCCATACACAAATAGAAATTCAATAATCACACTACTTGCCTCCATTTGATGGATGGTTTTAGTCTGTGGTTACCATCTAAGCAAGCTAACTATTGAAAGGAAATTAAATAGTATACGTTTGACATTTCCTTCTGTTTATGTGTCCCCAGTCTCATTCTGACAGAAATAGGAAAACTTGAGCAAACTATGGCAAAGACAGATACTAAGTCGAAAAAAGAAATAGGGTCTTTGATGCTAAGAAACTGCCTAAATGATGACTTTCTGATTGAATTTTTAAGTAAGATCCAATTTACCAAATTAATTTCTCCTCCAGGATTTAAATGTGGATGAGTTTGAGGAAATATTCAAGACAAAAGCCCAGGGTCCTGCCATTGATCTTTCTTCAAGCAAACAGAAGATAACACAGAAGGGATCAAACAAAGTGACATTACTAGAAGCAAATAGGGCCAAAAACCTTGCCATCACTTTAAGGAAAGCTGGAAAGACTGCCGACGAGATATGTAAAGCTATTCATATGTAAGTCCAGGGCACTGTGGAAATTTTTATCTAAGTAAGTTTACCATAAAAATGAAAATAAAAAGTTATGAATTAATAGATAACAGAAACATTACAATAATGGGGTAAAATCTAAGGTAGAAGACTGAGCGATCCACATACAGGAAGTTCACTTATTACGTAGGTGCTACTTCGTGGTTGAGTAACATGCTAACATTAAAGAAGTGGACCAGAAATTACCCTAGAGATGCTATATTAGAATGAGTAATTAATTGCTTTTCAAAAACAACATCTGGCTTGTTACATCATTTATTATCTTGATCTGCTCTCTTATATAGGCCTATAGCAGTGCTTACATAAAAGGAAAGTTTAGCTGAGTATTGCAGATGTTAAGAATGGGAGGAAAGTATCAGCTTTCCCAGAGTATCAGAATTCAATCCAGATTAGTTGAATACAAATTTGTTGGCATTTGCGGAATGCCACAATTCAGTGCCAAATGCAAATACGATACAGGTGTATATTTTAATTCATAACAATAAGAATGTGATTCCTGTTGCTCTTTGCATTTCCAAGACATTTTAAAAAAAGCTTGCTGCCTATTCTTGACTAGAATGCCTTGGTTTTGTTTACTTCTCTGTTATTATTCCCTCTTTGTGGTCTTGGTGACTTAGATATAGGTTAAGAGTGTTAATAAATGTTTCAGGAACTAAGTCTCATAAATAGATATTTCATAAATTTTAATCAGAGGCTTTGAAAGGAGTAAATGACTCAAAAAATAACTTGCTCCAACAATCCAGTGCCTCCTCTAGTCTTTCTGATTTCTGGTGTACATTTTTATTTGTAGTCTTGTTACAGCTTGCTTCTTGTCGTTGTTGTTTCTTGGTACCATTGAGTCAATACCAACTCACAGCAACCCTATGCACAAGAGAACACTGCCCAGTCCCGCACCAGCCTCACAATCATTGCTGCATTTGAGCCCATTGCTGCTGTCACTGTGCCAGTCCGTCGCATTGAGGAGTCTTCCTCTTTTTCTCTTGACTCTCCATTTTACCAAACATGATATCCTTCTCCAGTGACTGGTCCCTCCTGACAATATGTCCAAAGTATGAGATGAAGCCTGGCCAGCCTGGCTTCCAGGGAGCACTCTGGCTGTACGTCTTCCAACACAGATAGGTCTCTTCTTTTAGCAGTCCGTGGCACTTTCAATATTCTCCTTCAATACTGTAGCTCAAATGCATCAATTTTTCTATGGTCTTCCTTATTCACTGTCCAACTTTCACATGCATATGAGGTTATTGAAAACAGTATGACTTAGGTCAGGCGCACCTTAATCCTCAAGCTGATATCTTTGGTCTGCAACACTTGAAAGAGATCTTGCGCAACAGATTTTTGCCTAATGCAATACAATGTTTGATTTCTTGACTGCTGCTTTCATGAATGTTAATGGTTGATCCGAGCAAAATGAAGTCTCTGACTTCACTCTTTTCTACATTTTTCATGATGTTATTTATTGGTCCCGTAGTGAGGTTTTTTATTTTCTTTATGTTGAAGTGCAACACATACTGGAGACTATAGTCTTGAGCTTCATCAGTAAGTATTTTAAGTGTGCTTTGCTTTTCAGCAAGCAAAGTTGTATCATATGCATATGGCAGGTTGTTAATGAGTCTTCCTCTAATCCTGATGTCATGCTTTTATTCATATAATCTAATTTCTTGGATTATTTGCTCAGCATATAGATTGAATAATTATGGTGAAAGAATACAACCCTTGCGCAGACCTTTCCTAATTTTAAACCACTCAGTGTTCCCTTGTTTTGAACAACTGTCTCTTAAGTCTGCGTATAGGTTCCTCATAAGTACAATTGAGTGTTCTGAAATACTTATACTTTGCAATGTTGTCCATAGCTTGTCATGATCCACATAGTTGAAAGCCTTTGCATAGTCAATAAAACACAGATAAACATCTTTCTGGTTTTCTCTGCTTTTAGCCAAGATCCATCTGGCATTAGCAGTGATATCCTTTGCTTCACATCCACTTCTGAATCTGGCTTGTACCTCTGAACATTCTCTGTCAATTTATGGTTGCGGCCATTTTTGAACTTTCTTTAGTAAAATTTTGTTAACATGGGATATTAATGATACTATACAATGATTTCCATATTCTGTTGGGTCACCCCTTTTTTAAATGGGCACAAATATGGATCTCTTCCAGTAAATTAGCCAGGTAGTTGTCTTCCAGATTTCTGATGAGTGAGTGCCTCCAGTGCTGCATCAGTTTGTTGAAAGACTTCAATTTGTTTTCCATCATTTCCTGGAACCTTGTTCTTTGTCAGTGCCTTCAATGCACCTTGGATTTCTTCCTTCATTATCACTGGCTCTTGATCATATGTTGCTTCTTCAAATAGTTGAACATCAACTATATCTTTCTGGTATAGTGACTCTGTGGATTTTTTCCATTTTATTTTGAGGCTTTCTGCATCAATCAATATTTTGCCCACTGTTGTTGTTAGGCGCTGTCGAATCAATTCCAACCCATAGCGACCCTGCTGTATAGGGTTTCCAAGGAACAGCTGGTGAGCTTGAACCACCGACCTTGCAGTTCAAATGACTTTGCAGTTTGATGCATTAGCCCACAGCACCACAACAGTACTCCATTTTGCCCATAGAATCCTTCAGTATTTCAAATCAAGGCTTGAATTTTTTCTTCAATTCCTTCAGTTTGGGAAATGCTGAGCATGTCCTTCCCTTTTGATTTTCTAATTCCAAGTCTTTGCACATTTCATTATAATGTTTGACTTTGTCTTCTTGAGCTGCCTTTTGAAATTTTCTGTTCAGCTTTTTTACCTCCTCATTTCTTCCATTTGCTTTCACATCTCTACGCTGGAGAGCAAGTTTCAGAGTCTCTTCTGACATCCATTTTGGTCGTTTCCTTCTTTCTTGCCTTCTTAATGACCTTTTGTTTTCTTCCTGTATGATGTTCTTAATGTCATCCCATAACTCTTCTGAGATCCAGTCTTTGGTGTCTAATGCATCAAAGCTGTTCTTGACATAATTTCTAAACTTCAGTCTTTACTGTTTAATGTATCAAATCTGTTCTTCAGATGATCTCTGAATTCAGGTGAGACATATTTAAGGTCATATTTTGGCTCTTGTGGACTTGTTTTCATTTTCTTCAGCTCCATCCTGAACTTGTACATGAGCAATTGATGATCTGTTCCACAATCTGCCCCTGGCCATGTTTTGGCTCATGATATGGAGCTTGTCCGCTGTCTCTTTCCACAGATACAGTGAGTCTGACTTCTGTGTATTCCATCTGGTGAGGTCCAGGTTTATAGTCATCTCTTACGTTGTTTAGAAATATATATTGCAATGAAGAAGTCATTGGTCTTTCAAAATTCTATCATGTGATCTCCAGCATCGCTTTTATCACCAAGGCTATATTTTCCAACTACAGATCCTTCCTCTTTGTTTCCAACCTTTATATTCCAATCACCAGTAATTATTGCATGTTTGATCAATTTCAGACTGAAAAAGTTGGTAGAATTCTTAAATTTCATCATCACTGGCTTAGTTGTTGGTGCATAAATTTGAATAATACTGGCGTTAAGTGGTCTGCCTTGTGGGCATATGGGTATTTTCCATCACAGAGAGTGTTGTACTTCAAGATAGGTCTTGGTGTGTTCATTGTGATAATGAATGCGATGCCCTTTCTCCCCAGTTTGTCATTCCCTGCATAGTAAACCATGTGATTGTCAGAATCCGAATTGCCAATGCCAGTCCATTTCACTTCACTAATACCTAGGATATTGATGTTTATGCATGTCAGTTCATTTTTTATAACTTCCAGTTTTCCTAGATTCATACTTTGTACATTCCATGACCTGATTATTAATGGATGTTTACAGCTGTTTCTCTTTAAGTTGTGCCCTATCAGCAAATAAAGGTCCCTATGGCTTTAACTGGTAGCGCAGTGGTTACGAATTGGGCTGCGAACTGCAAGGTCAGCAGTTCTAAACTACCAGCTGCTCCGCGGGACAAAGATGAGGCTTTCTGCTCCCATAAAGATTTACAGCCTTGGAAACTCTGTATAAGGTTGCTATGAGTCGGAATCGACTCCACGGCACATAACAACAACAACAACAACAACATGGCTTTAACTGTACTTTGAGGAAGCAGCTCTTCCCCAGTAGCATTTTGAGTGCCTTCCAACCTGAGGGACTCATTTTCTGGCACTATATCTTACCATGGGAGCTGTGGTAGCGTAGTGGTTACGAATCGGACTGTGAATCGCAAGGCCAGCAGATCGAAACTACCAGCTGTTTCGCGGGAGAAAGATGAGGCTTTCTGCTCCCATAAAGATTTACAGCCTCGGAAACCCTGTACAGTGTTGCTATGAGTCGGAACCGACTCCATGGCACTTAGCAACAACAACAATATTTGACCATATTCTGGTGCGTCTCACCACATTTCTGGTGCTGACAGAGTTCCACTGCTATTCATAGTTTATGGTGACTAAATATTCGGAAGTAGTCTATCTCTCCTTCTTCTTAGTCTGTCTTCATCTGGAAGGTCAGCTGAAACCTGTCCACCATGGGTGACCCTGCTGATGTTTAAAATACTCATGGCATAGCTTCCAGCATCATACTAACATGCAAGCCACCACAGTACAACAAACTAACAGACAAGTGGTTGTACCTTGCTTGTTGTTGTTGTTAGGTGCCATTGAGTCGGTTCTGACTCATAGCAACCCTATGCACAACAGAATGAAACACTGCCCGGTCCTGGACCAACCTCACTATTGTTGTCACACTTGAGCCCATTGATAGTGCCACTTTGTCAATTCATTGCATTGAGGGTCTTCCTCTTTTCTTTGACCCCTCCACCTTACCAAACATGATATCCTTCTCCAGTGACAGGTCCCTCCTGACAATATGTCCAAAGTATGAGAGACGAAGTTTGGTCATCTTGGCCTCCAAGGAGCACTCTGGCTGCACTTCTTCCAACACAGATCTGTTGGTTCTTTTGGCAGCCCATGGCACTTGCAATATTCTCTTCTCCAACACTGTAACTCAAAAGCATTAATTCTACGGTCTTCCTTTCACATGCGTATGAAGTTATTGAAAATACCATGGATTGGGTCAGGAAAACCTTAATCCTCAAGCTGACATCTTTGCTCTTCAACATTTTAAAAAGATTTTGTGCAGCAATTTGCCGAATGCAATACATTGTCTGATTTCTTAACTGCTGCTTCCATGAGTGTTGATAGTTGTCAAGAATGAAGTCCTTGACAGCTTCAAGGTTTTCTCTGTTGATAAGAATCTTGTATATTGATCCAGTGGTGAAGATTGTTTTCTTTACATTGAGATGCAATCCATACCAAAGGCTGTACTCTTTGATATTCATCAGTAAATATTTTAAGTCTTCTTCACTTCAGCAAGCAAGGTTGTATCATCTGCATATCACAGATTGTTAATGAGTCTTCCTTCAATCCTGATGCCACGCTTTTCTTCATATAATCCAGTTTCTCAGATTATTTGCTCAGCATACAGGTTGAATAAGTACTGTGAAGAATACAACCCTGTCTTTCTTAATTTTAAACCATTCAGTGTTCCCATGTAATGTTTTAACAACTGCCTCTTGGTCCAGGTAGAGATTACTCAATAGCACAATTAAGTGTTCCGGAATACCCATACTTCATAATGTTGTTCGTAGCTTGTCATGAGCCACACAATCGAAAGCTTTTGCATAGTCAATAAAGCACAGGTAAACATCTTTCTGATATTCTCTGCTTTCAGCCAAGATCCATCAGACATCAGCAATGATATCCCTCGTTCCACAGCCTCTTCTGAATCTGGCTTGCACCTCTGGAGTTCTCTGTCAATGTATGCTTGCAGCCATTTCTGTATTACCTTTAGTAAAACTTAACTCGCCTGGGATATCAAAGAGATTGTCTGATGATTTCCGCATTCCATTGGGTCACCTCTGTTTGGAATGGACACAAATATGGATCTCTTCCAATCAGTCAGCCAGATAGTTGTTTTCTAAAATTCTTGGCAGAGATGAGTGAGTGCTTCCTGTGCTGCCTCACTTTCTTGAAAGATTTCAATTTATATTCCATCAATTCCTGGTGCCTTGTTCTTTGCCAATTCCTTCAGTGCACCTTGGACTTCCTCCTTCAGTATCATTTGCTCTTGATCATATGCTACCTCTTGAAATGGCTGAACATCAAACATTTCCCTTTTGGTACAGTGAGTCTGGATTCCTTTCATCTACTTGTGATGCTTTCTGTATCATTCAATATTTTGCCCAGAAAATCCTTTAATAACAAAAGTCGAGGCTTGAATTTTTTCTTCAGTTCCCCCAACTTGAGAAATGCTGAGTGCATTCTTCCTTTTTGGTGTTCTGACTCCAGATTGTTGCACTTTGTTATATTTGACTTTTGTCTTCTTGAGCTGACCTTTGAAATTTTCTGTTCAGCTCTTGGACCTCCTCATTTCTTCGATTTGCTTTAGCATCTCTACTACGCTGGAGACCAAGTTTCAGTGTCTCATCCATTTTGACCTTTTCCTTCTTTCTTGTCTTCTTAGTGACTTTTTGCTTTCTACCTGTATGATCTTGATGTCATCCCACAACTCTCTGGTCTTCAGTCTTTAGTGTTTAATGTATCAAATCTCTTCTTCAGTTGATCTCAAATTCAGGTGGGATACATTCAAGGTCATATTTTGGCTCTCTTAGACTTGTTTTCATTTTCTTCATCTTCAGTTTGAATTTGTATATGAGCGATTGATGGTCCATTCCACAATCTGCCCCTGGCCTTGTTTTGACTGATGATATGGAGCTTTTCTATTGTCCCTTTTCACAGATGTAGTAATTTGATTTCTATGTATTCCATCTGTGAGGTCCATGGTATTATGCTGTCTAAAGAAGGTATTTGAAATGAGCAAATCATTGATTTTGCAGAATTCTATCATGTGATCTCCAGCATCATTTCTATCACCAAAGCCATATTTTCTAACCACTGATCCTTCCTCTTTGCATCCAAAATTTGCATTCCACTCACCACTAGTGATCAATACATCTTGATTGCATGTTTGATCAATTTCAGAGTGAAGAAGTTGTTAGTATTCTTCTATTTCATCCTCACTGCTTTAGTGGTTTGTGCGTAAATTTGATTAGTAGTAGTATTCGCTGGTCTTCCCTGTAGGCACATGGATATTATCCTATCACATCATGACTGATGTGGATATGTTCTTTTTGACAATGAATGCAGCACTATTCCTCTTCAATTTGTCATTCTTGGCAGAGTAAACCATGTGGTTGTCCAAATCAAAATGGCCAGTACCAATCCATTTCAGCTCACTAATGCCTAAGATATCGATGTTTATGCGTTCTATTTCATTTTTGGCAATTTCTAATAGGTGGTTAAAGTGTGTGTATGTGGAGGGGGGTAGGGCAGGGTGTGTGTGGTAGGGAAGGCTTTTTTTCTAATACTGACCTGTTGCCATCCGCCTTCAGATTTGACTTGAAGACATTGCCTGTAGACTTTGTGGAATGTTTAATGAGGTTCTTGCCAACTGAGAATGAGGTGAAAGTGCTTCGACTATATGAGCGGGAAAGGAAGCCCCTGGAAAACTTGTCAGATGAAGACCGCTTCATGATGCAGTTCAGTAAAATTGAGAGGCTCATGCAGAAGATGACCATCATGGCCTTCATTGGGAACTTTGCTGAAAGCATTCAGATGCTGACTCCTGTGAGTAGACCAACTCTGGTCAAGGAGAGGCACAAAAAGACATAGAATCTTTCTTTTTTTTCCTTTTAAGTCTCTCCAAAAATTGTATGCAGTATGATGTATGTAGGTATGTATAGGGCTCTAAAGACTCCTTCCTAGAACTTTCTAGATTGTGTTTTCATCTCAGCCATCCGTTACGCCATTATGTATGCAAAGTAAATTTGAAAAACCACGAAGTTTGGAAAGTGGTGACTTTCCATATTCTGCATTGCTATTCTTCCTAGAGAATGCCATTTTCTGGGTCTGCAAATAGATGTCCACTAGATTTCAAGGGGCCTATTTATACCAAGGATAAGGAAAACCATTTTCTCAAAAAATCATTTTCCTTCCTGAAAATATATCAGTCCTTTACTGAATTGGCAGGGAGTCTTGGTATGGCACTGGGGCCTAATGCACTGGACTGCAAAGTCATTTTGAACCACAAGGTCAGTGGTTCAAGCTCAAAAGCTGCTCCTTGGAAGTCCTACCCAGGGTTGCTATGGGTCGGAACGACTTGACAGCACTTAACAAACAACTAGGTTGGCAAGGCTGAAAATGTAACTTTCATTTCTAAAATGTACCCTATGTCTTTAGTGAACAGGTTTATAGCTTACATTGGAAGCACTAGATTATCACAGAAAATTTCCTTGATATTTACTGCATTAGACTATGGTGATAGAGAAATGATAGCCAACAGTCAGTGCTCTTGTGTGGATATGGTTTATAAATATCATACACTTCCCTTCTTTCCCTGTTCTGTTTCTAATTAAACTTAGTTGTTGATTTTAGTAGCATGTCTGTTAAAAGACATTTTCTGAGAACTTCTGGTGGATGATTTTATCCTTTTTTGCATTTTACCCTCCCCAGACTTAGACAGCTCCATTGGTAAATAAATATAAAATACAATTTCTATCTATTTACTTATCTGGAGTCCTGGTGTGGCATTGCAGGAAAAACACTGGACTACAAGGTCATTGGAATTGCAAAATCGGTGCTTCAAACTCACCAGCCGCTCCTCAGAAACCCTACATAGTATCACTATGAGTCAGAATTGACTTGATGGCACTAAACAACAACAGATTTACCTATCTTTAACTTTATGTGTTTTATGTAGCCATAAAACACATAAACATATAGAGGTGGTGGGCAAGAGATTGAATTCTGTCAGAAGACCCTTAACTCTTATCTCATTGGTTACAGGTGATAAACAAATTTTTAAATTACTTGTTCCTGCAAATAGTTTTTAGAGAAGGACTTACTGGTAATGATTGTTTTTGCTGTTAAGTGCCGTCGAGTTGGTTCCAACTCATAGCGACTCTGTATGGGGTTTCCAAGGAGCAGCTGGTGGGTTTTTGTACTGCCAACTCTGTGGTTCACAGTCCATCCAACCTTGTGGATCAGTCCTGGTGTGGCTGGTCCTATACTGCCACACCAGGAGTTCTTGGTAATTACAGGGTTTCCTAAGATCTCGTGTGACAACTTAAACTTACTCTGCTTAATAAAAATGTAATCGTGGCACTAGGATTTTAAGGCCTGATTTTTTGTGTTAATTTTAGTGTCCAATTAGAGTTTCCAGTTTTTAACACATCTTTTCTCCCTTTCTTCCTTCGATCGGAATCTAGCAACTGCACGCAATTATAGCAGCATCTGTCTCTATAAAGTCATCCCAAAAACTCAAGAAAATTCTGGAGGCAAGTACAATTTTCTTCATATGCATGTCAGCTGCATTCCTCTGCCTGGGATGCTATACTGATGGGGTGATCTTTCCTCTCTTTGCATTCAGATTATCTTGGCCCTTGGAAACTATATGAATAGCAGTAAACGAGGAGCAGTTTATGGATTTAAGCTTCAGAGTTTAGATTTGGTGAGTGGAATGAAAGAAATAAAAAGAACTATGTGAAGGGAAAAACAGCTGACAGAGATTAATTAAATCCCTTAGTAGCAGGAGTCTGCTCTTGGAAGTTGGGGTGAGGTAGCTTGATGAAAATTCTCTGCTACCAGAAAGAGTTTGGAAAATTGTTTCCAATTTACTGGAACACTATTTGGTATTATTGGCCCTAGCACTTAGAGCCTTAAAAATACTCATATCCTTTACCTCAGTATCTCCATTTCTAGGAATCTTTCCTCAGAAATGTGAATTTTGGGTGCTAGATTTTATCAATAATTGCACATAATCAGCAGCAATCTGAAAGTACAACATTTGGAAAATGATGGAAGATGATACAATACTAGTTCATACTGTACATACGTCTTCAACTCCTAACTTATCTGTGAAGAGTTTTCAAAGAACTAGAAAAATCTGTTTAGAAAAGGAGTCAGTATAAATTACATGTAAAGTGTGATTCCAAATAAGTATAATGTTTAGGGGAAAAAGACTGAATGGAAATAGGTCAAAATGTAACTTATTTTCATTTTGAGATGTTGGATGGAGTTACAGAAATTGTTTTCCCTGCTTTACATTTTTCTGTATTTTCTTTTTTGGATGAGAAAAGGTGTACTCTGCTTTTCTGAGTCAAAACCCTCAGTGAAACATATTCCTGCCAGCTTTGTGGGCCTAAATTAACTTCCACACGAGAAAGTTAAGTAGTGGGTTGAGGTCCCAGCCAGACACCCGCTTATTTGAATTGGCTTGTCCGGGCAGTCACAGTTCAGACCTCCAGCACATTGAGTTCTAGCAGCCTGACAGTGGAGCATAACTGTCTTGTGCCATCAGTGGCTTGGACATAAGAGAAGCTGAGCCAAGGATGAAGATTGCAGTTGAAGGATACCTGCTCACACTACACACGGCTGCTCCACTCTCCATTTCTTTGCTCATTTACTTTGGAGAACACTAAAACTGGAGCTTGCCTGGTGGTAAGCCAGAGCAGGTGGTTCAAAGAATGAGATGGGAATGGGGCACAGTTGATGTAAGTTAGATGTTTCTTAGCTGTTTAGAGTCATCCCTAATGTGTAGCTTACCTGCTGGTCAGTGCCTCCTCCATGCATTTAACTATCAGAGGGCTGGTTCACCAAGAACAGCTTGAATCTTGAATCTCTTCTGGGAATGTTTTTGTCAACCTATTGGACAGCTATACCCAATGGTACCCTCTGGGTGGAAAAATGTCATCTGGTGGAGAACACGCCTAACACTTTATTCTTTCACCCAACCCATGTCCCCTTGTTTTTCAGCTGTTAGATACAAAGTCAACAGACCGAAAGCAAACACTGTTGCACTATATCTCCAATGTTGTGAAAGAAAAATATCACCAAGTGTCCCTGTTTTATAATGAGCTTCATTATGTGGAGAAAGCTGCTGCAGGTACTTAATTTCAGCGATTCACATTTTTGAATACCTTTAATAATGGAGGAACCTATTCCCTGTGTAAACCACTTTTCAGAACCTCTTTAAAAAGGCAATGCTTGAAGAAGTCACAGGTTGTGAGCTGAAACACATGGGCCATGGTGTTGTCCTCTGAACCCCCTTTCCCTCACAGACACAGAAGTGCCTTCCCTCTGGAAACAGTCTGAACCTTTGGGCCTCATGTACCTTCCCTCTTTCATTCTTGTCTTGTGTATTCTTTTGTTGCTCTTTGATATTTGAAAATGTGAATCTGAGATTACTCCCAATGAATGCTTTACTTTGGCTTTTTACTATCAGCTTGCTCAGATGTGGCCGTTGTAAATGTTTTATTTTGAGCCTGAACACAAGTTAAGTCCTCAATACTTCTTGGTTGCTACTTTCCTATCACAGTTATGCATTTTCTCATTTTAAAGCATCAGAGATAGCTGGGATGTACAAGGTGATAGTATCTCATTGTATAGATGAAAAAGCTGACTTTTTTTTTTTTTTTTTGAGGTTATATTTCTGGACCAAGGTGACCTTGATATAGAGCATACTAGAAAGAGGCCTATGACCCACATCTTCTTACTTCTTACATATAGTATATCTTCCAAGGTACTTTACCCACTCAGAACAATATTGTTGTTGTTAAGTGTTGGTTCCGACTCATAGCGAACCTGTATAGGGTCTCCAAGGAGTAGCTAGTGGGTTTGAACCACCAATCTTGTAGTTCAAACCAACCTTGAAGTCTGATGCATTATCCTGTAGTTCCACACCAGGACTCTAAAACAATATGAGATAAGAAAAAAGAAAGACATGCAAATTGAACTTGGAGTTAGGTACAGGCTATGATTTTCAAATTACATCTTGAATCATAGCAGTTAGAGTATTTATTACAAATCCAGATTCCTGAGGCCTATCCCAGACTTACAGTTTGAATCTTTGAGAGCAAGACCTACTCTGACTTCTTCATACAGTCAATGACTGTGACTTCTCTTCTACTGTTACTGAAGCAGTCTCAGAAACCTACAAGTCAGAACCAACTTGGCCACACACAACAGCAACATGACATGATTTACCAAATGATATTAGAAGAGTTTGCGTGTAACTTTTGTCCTGTATACTTCATAAGGGTGTAATCAGGCTTTATTTATCTGACAAAGTCGATGATGGGAATGAACAAATGGGTGAATGAATGTGATGGCACACACATTCATACTTGGGCAGATGCTGCGGAGGGCCCAGTGGATTCTAAGCTAGGTGCAGATGATCTGTGTCTACTAAGAACTCAGAGACACGGCCCACTAGAGTCGTTGTCAATTATCAGGAGTTCTAGATTGGTGGAATGGATTTCCTCCTTTTAAGTTTCCCTTTGTCTACATTCAGGATTCTTTAACATCAAATTCTAATTAAGGAAAACTGTTAAAAGTAAAATTTCCATCGCAATGAGTTGGAAAGATGGCACTCAATAACAAATTAGTGACACATTTGATATGACCCAAACAAGATTTGTTGAAATATCAGTTGAAAAAAATCTCTCCAAAATAAAATGGGGTTACTGAGGCACACTCTGACTGAACTGTTCTGTGTTTGTACTCTGATTGATAGCTGACATAGGTTCTTTATACCTTCATTCACATACTGTTTCATTTTATCCTCTTGGCTATTCGTTCACTTTTTTTTTTTTTTTCCATTCAGTCTTTTGTTCACCCAGTGAACATTTCTGAGTACCTGCTGCGTACTTGGCACTGTTTGTAAGTATTGTGAGTCAAACATGAGTAAGACATTGTGAATCTCATGAGGGGAAAACATCACATTGTTAGTAACCCATCTTTGTCTGACAACAAGGAGCCATAGGTATGGAGCCAGATCTCCATTGGGTTATCTGGCTCAGGACAGAGTGTCCAGCTATATGGTGAGGTGGCTACACTACAGATGGAAAGACCCATGATGAAACATTCTGAAGCTGGGATGGGTGTTTAGCATAAAAAGAGAAGCTGTCCAAGGTTGTTTTTCAGCCCTATTGTCAATGCAGCTGAAATCCAACTGATAAAATGCTATCCCCTGTTGGAGAGCATCAGAAATGCAAAGACGTGTATCTATCCTGATGGTCTAGGAAACACTAGACTGTGATCTGCAAGGACCCCTGCTCTGAAAGCCAGAAACCAGATAAAAGGTTCTTGAATAACCACTTATGTCTCCTAAGAGTCTACGTAGAACTTGACTTATCAACCAGACTAGCTGTGGTTTTGACTTTCCCAGTTGAGGTTTACTGGGGTATTTATTCTCTACTTCAGTCTCCCTTGAGAATGTTTTACTGGATGTCAAGGAGCTCCAGAGGGGCATGGACTTGACGAAAAGGGAGTACACTATGCATGACCACAACACGTTGCTGAAGGAGTTCATCCTCAACAATGAGGGGAAGCTGAAGAAGCTGCAGGATGATGCCAAGATTGCACAGGTACATACTGGTGTCCTGGACAGCTGAAAAGAAGAGATGAGGTCTCTAGACGCTACCTGGGGACAGACCTGGTTGGGGGAGAAATGTTCTATTGCCATGTTTGCCGAGGGTGTATGTTATGTAATCATTTAGTTGTATGAGAAAAGGGGCATCTTTCTGAATGTTGATTTTGGAAGCCCATGCCCTACTTAGTGCTCTTTTCTGATTTCAGATCTTCCTCTCTTCTCTAGAGTTCCTCTCTGTCTGTCCCCTTACTTTACTACTAGACTCCCAGGAGGGACTAGAATGAAGACTCCCAGAATGAAGCATGAATGCTTCATTCAGTCACACCAACATGTATCAGAACTGTGCTTAGCAAGGCAGTGTTTCAGGTAGACTGAGTGTCTGTTGACCTCAATCTAAAAGTCTTACACTACGCTGGGGATCACCGATATGTAAGCAAACCTGCAAAAGTATAGAATAAACTATATCACAAAAGGTTCAACAAATTGTGGTAGGAACTCAGAAAGCACATAGAGTAAAATACAATGGCCTCCCCTAGACTGTCCTGAATTACAGAAGTGTCCAAGCAGAGACTAAGTGTCTCCTATGTGGGAATGCTGTTTAAGAAACACTGGAACAGGAGGGTAAGATTTGTAGTCAGGGTGGCTCATCTGAGGTCCCTTTAACCTTACTGGTTTTAAGGAGCTCTGTATGACCTTAGGAAACTCTTAAATGGAATGGTGTCTATGTGTGTCACAAAAAACTTCCATGGCAGGAGTCCCAGACATGAATTTGTCTCGCTGTTGCATTCTCTTGGTTGCCTTTGTCAAGACATTTGGATGAAACATGCCATCTATAGAAAGTGGTGGGTGGGGAGAGAGGCTCCTGTCGAGAGTGCTGGAGGAGCTGCCGTCTCCTTACTGCTGCTTTGCTCTCCTCCGCTGCTTCAGCTTCTCCCCCACCCGTACCCCCATAGCATCAAGTTCAAATGCTGGAAGTAATGAAATTCAGGAGACATTTGCTTCTTCATAGGATGCCTTTGATGATGTTGTAAAGTATTTTGGAGAAAACCCCAAGACGACACCACCCTCTGTCTTCTTTCCAGTCTTTGTCCGGTTTGTGAAAGCCTACAAGGTAACTGGGAATGTTGGAGCCCCGAGATACCTCCTTTCAGTTACTTCTCAAGTAGACCTCCTCCATGATATGGGTCTCAGTCGCCTCTGCTCTGTAAAGGCCTCTTCTGTCCCTTTGGGCAACAGATGGCGATCCCTTATGGAGGCTGAGAGTTTCTTGGGCCCTCAGTGCATGCTGGACCTGTCCTCACCAAGACTATCCTAGGGCTCAGGTCGATTAAAAAAAAAAAAACCTCTGGACTGTTTCCTTGGGAGAATTCATCTGAGGCCAGTGAGACACTCCGGTACATTGTTGTTCCACTGAAAGTTCATCCATGCAGGTGAGGTGAAGGGCTTAGAAAGACCCAGACCTCCCATGGTGATGTATATTCAACAGGTAGGAGAGTGAAGCATGATCTGGGGCAAAGGTGCATGCTGGAGCTGTTAGTTCTGGTCAGGTTTTCACATCTGTTAGATTGACATTTCTGCAGCATTTCCATAGGTATAGACATTCTTTGGTATTTATTTTATCTGAACCAACAGTGGTCCTTCCTTTAGATGGGAGGTCATCCTCTTTGGCATACCAAGGATCATAGTCATTATATATTTTAAAAAATCATGGGATCCAAATAGACACGTGTCAGAAGAATTTGATGAGGGTGTTAGAGAATTTGGGACCACTTAGGAGGCAATGTAATCTATACCATCTGTACTTGTCTTATAATCATCTGTACTTGTTGTATTTATAACATTCATAAGTAAGTGGAAAAAGGAGTGTTTATTGTAGATGTGGAAGAAGCAGTGTTATCTGCATTTTAGAAATAGCAGCATCATACTAGAAGTAGCTTGTCGTTTCCCCAGCATCACTAGAGGCTGGTGGCTGTGGAGAAATATCCTTGGACCTTTTCTTGACACTCAGGTTCAAATTGTTAGCTATCTTCTCCCAGCATGGCTTAGTGTAGCAGTGATGTCTGTTAGCAGAAGAATAGTGTCTTCAGCACTAAGAGACTCCACAGAAAGTCTATGTGCAAGACAATGGGAACCAGAGCAGCAAGAAAGTCTCTGGTTACCAGTGCAGAGCGGTGGTACTCCGGCATCCAATGCCTGCTGCAAATAGGGCTCAGATTACTCTTTGTCATATTTCTCAAATGAGAAATTAGACATCCTGGTGTGGTGTTGTGGGTTAATGCACTGGACTGCAACGTCAGTGTGAATCACAAGATCAGTGGTTCAAGCTCATAAGCGGCTCCTTAGAAACAAGGTCACTATGAGACAGAACCAACAACAACGTTTAAAGAGAGACAGTGGATTAAGGCAATTTGAAAAGTGCCACTGGTTGGTCTCAAAGGCAGACAGTTCTACAGGAACATGCCTAGAGCAAAGAAGCCAGAAGAGATGCTGCCCTTGCTGTCCTGTGGAGTGTCACAGGCTCTGACTCTTCCCAGTGGTCTTGTTAGCTGGCTTGCTGAGACATTTGTCCAACAGTGACATTTAGGGGATCTTTTACTTGCCCTAGATGTCACAAAAAACTTCTGTGTCTCGCACTACTGGTATGGTTTTAGGAACTTATTTCTTTTCCCATTCCAAGTAATGGGAAAAAGTGAAACAAGAAAAAAGCAAGAGATCAAAATGTACGCATTATTACTGGTAAGAGCTGTCTTGGAGGACATAGTGTCAATGTGGACTTGTGAGCTTACACTTTGTCCCAAATTAGACAAATGATGTGTCCTGTCCATCAGTTCACAGCTGGTCAATTAGAAGTCTCTTTAGAGAGATGGCCTAAAAGAACATCCAAGAAGGCTGAGCTGAAATGAGCCTGTTAGATTTCTTCTCCCAGATTTATCAGACTAGTCACTGCCTCCCTTTGGAAGGCGTGAGCTGTAGAGACAGAGAGAGGTCATGAATATGATTACTCCACTGAGGCCTCCCAAGGAAACAAGGCCAAGGCCAAAGGAATGAAGGGTTTCCCTAATAGTGGATAGAAAGCAGAGGAATCTTAGGTCCTGCTTGCCCAGAAGTGATAGATAGGTGGATAGATTCTGGAAGTAAAACAAACTCTCAAAAGTCATTGGGCACAGCTGCCAAAATCACACTGAGATGCAGTTGATCAGGGATGCAGCCATCAGGAAAGGACATCTGGATAAGATTAATTTCTGACAACCTGATTTTGAAAGAGGTATGACATAGCAGGACAGTGACGTGTGGAATTAGAATTAAATATAGACATAAAGTACAAATCTTCTAAACCTTCAATTTATTTTAACTTCTAGCTGACTAAGGACTGTCCAAGAGTGACTATAAAATCTTGATGAAGGGCCATCATATTGTCCAAGAGTGACTATAAAATCTTGATGAAGGGCCATCATATTGTCCAAGAGTGACTATAAAATCTTGATGAAGGGCCATCATATTGAAATAGTTGTTTTTTTTTTTTTGATTCAACCAGCAAGCAGAAGAGGAAAATGAGCTTAGGAAAAAGCAGGAACAAGCTCTCATGGAAAAACTCTTGGAGCAAGAAGCTCTGATGGAGCAGCAGGATCCAAAGGTAAGAAGTGCTCAGCCAAGATGTATGCCCAGCTGCTGTATGACAAGCAATAGTTGTTAAATGCTGTCGAGTTGATTCCAACCCATAGCGACCCTATATAGGGTTTCTGAGGAGCTGCTGGTGAGCTTGAAGTACAGACCTTGCAGTTCGAACAGCTTTGCAATCTGGCTCATAAACCCACAGTGCCACACCAGGACTCCAACAAGCAGTAGAGTGATACGTAAAACCCAGAATTGTGCATGTCCTCCTAGGGTTAGAGTTTGGAAACTTGGCAAATAGAAATTTGTTCATTATTTTGTTTAGCAACCACTGGAATTAAGCTTGTGTAGCATTTCCAGGCTTACAGAGATCTGGGAGTTAAATCTTAGTTGAGTATACAGAGAGGCCACACCAGCTACCCTTATGATTCTGGGAAGGCTCTGTGAGGTTGCCCATTGGTGTGCTGGGTCTGGTTTGCTGAAAAGTTTGGCTAGGGAACATTTCAGGGAAGGGAGCATCTTAAAGATGGACAGGTCAAATTATTCAAGCTCATGACTCTGCACCAAACTTTACGAAGTAGATGGTTATTACTAGCTATCCCTTGTTGCCATTGCTGCCAGCTAGAGTTTTATATGTTCGTCAATGATATTTCTCTTCTTCCTAAAGCTTTGAGTTTTTCTGCATTTGAACAGAATGTTGGATGTGCTTCTTTTGTCAGACATTACCGATTCTCAAAAAAATGCTCAAGCACATTTTAGACTAACCTCTGCCATTTCTTTCCTTTCAGTCTCCTTCTCATAAGTCAAAGAGACAGCAGCAAGAGTTAATTGCAGAGTTAAGAAGGCGACAAGTTAAAGACAACAGACATGTATATGAGGGGAAAGATGGTGCCATTGAAGATATTATCACAGGTAAGGGGTATTTCCTCACTCTGGTCCATGGAGTTCCTACTGGCCTTACCCAGATTGGGCTGCATGCAGATATTTCAACTTCTTTTGTCCAGGATTTGCAAATTCTTATGTCGACTTTATTCAGATCCAGGTTTATGCAGGGACACTCCCTACAAGTGTTTGTAATAAATTTTTAATAGCTTGTATGCTGCCCACCTAAGACCCCCCTACTCTTAGAAAAATCGTAATCTCTTTCTTATTTCTCAATGTCATTGGAATCCTGTTGGTTTCAAGAGGGCTATTTCTCCTGGTGGTTTTCATTTTCTTCGATTAGCCACCATAACCCATTTTTTCTACCCACCCGCCTGCCTTATAAATACTGTGGATAAGGCCCTTTCAGCTTTTTACTGACCACAGTCCATGTGCAAGTTTTTTTTTACAACATGCTGTTTAGTATCCACTTTACTCTTTCAAAGGGACCTGAAAACTATTATGAAATCAGGGGCTGATACTTTTATTGATGAGCCAACACTCCTTCTATCAGGTAGGAATGGTGCCTAATCCAGCTTGGTTCTTTTCTGATAGAAGTCCTAGCCAAATGATTTCTGCTCGAGTGAATTCTCAGGAGTTTTGGCACTACTATACCTCAGGATTAAGGAGCTCTGGTAGCGTAGTGGTTACGAATCGGGCTGCGAACCTTAAGGTCAGCAGTTCGAAACTACCAGCTGCTCCGCGGGAAAAAGATGAGGCTTTCTACTCCTGTAAGGATTTACACCCTCGGAAACCCTGTACAGGGTCACTATGGGTCGGAACCGACTCGAAGGCACTTAACAACAACATACCTCAGGATTATAATTGGGCCACCGCCTTGTGGTGGTGGCAGTAAATGCTTTTCATTTCTGTTGACCTTTTTAATCAGCTTCCAAAATACTTAAAAAAAAATTTTGTTGTGGAAATGTTTAATATTTATTGTTCTTTGAATATATTCAATATTCTACACATTCTAAAGCTCCAGATTAACTCTTTGAGACTTTCATTAACTTGGATATATATTTGCCTGCCCCATTTCCAGCTGAGCTCCCCACCCCCACCCCCAGGTGTGATTAACAAAGTACTAACCATGTACTAATGTAATAGATTTTGGCATTTTACTCTTCTGTTTGTCTTGTTTGGCTGTCATTTTTGATGCAGTGCTGAAGACTGTGCCCTTTACCGCTCGCACCGCCAAGCGTGGCTCTCGATTTTTCTGCGAACCTGTTCTCACTGAGGAATACCATTACTAAACTATTACTCTTTGTCACCTGATGCTCTTAAAAGGTTGCTATAGGTTTTTTGATCTCTTATGTCCCTCTGTGTGTCTGTCAGGGTCACCCCACGTTAGCATGGAATTTCCATTTCCATAACGTTGTGACTTGTGTTTTCTTCACGCTGCATGGTTTTCATTGGTCACTACTGCTTAATCACTGCCACTTGCAAGATGAACATGTATACATATGGCTGGGATAATCTGGGTATGTATTAAGAGTTGAGTTAATGGAACTACTTGCAGAAATTTTCAGAAAAGCTGTAAGTAGAGCATTTCTTTGACAATCAAGATTGGAACCGATTGCTTAAAGTTTTAAGCACAAAACTACAGTAATAACAAAAGCTGTTAACTTTATTGTGGCTCTGTAGTATAAACACTTGACGGCAAACCACAAAACCGGCAGTTAGAGCCCACCAACCCACTCCTCTTAGAGAGAGAGGCTTTCTGCTTGCTCTCATATAGGTTTGCAGCCTCTGAAACCCTCAGAAACTTTCATTGAGCACTTACTTTGCTGATAGTAAAATGAGCTGCTATACAAAGTGTTCCAAAGTTATGAAGTATTTTACAGTTGTTAACTATGCAGAGCTTCAAATCCAGCCATGGACAGCATCTGCAGCATGATGGAGTTCATAGAACAAACTCTACGCTGGAAGGACTTTTGACCTAGAAGCATGTATAGATGATATACTCACATCACCTTCCCTCTGAGCAGCATGCCCAAGTTAAGCCATCAGCCGTTTCATATTAGAGCAAGTCTGTGAGGCAGGATATGAAGCAAAGGCTCCCACCCTCTTTATTCATGCTTCTTCACTAGTTGCTCTGTTCCATGTCAAACCCAGGTTATTTCTCTGATGATTAAATTATATCTGGACCTGCTTTATTGGTCAGCATGGCAACATCAGTGCTATTTTTATAATTAAAAAATGATTGCATTATTTCTAAGAGGTAACTGCATGAGCTTAGATCTCAATGACTAGATAAGGAACATACTTTTCTTCTGTTGATTAGAAATCAGTTGATGTAGAAAAAGAAGACAAGGGAAACATACTCTTAACAGGAAATACCCATTTGATTCCTGTGCTGAGATTGACATGGAACTGGGTTTGTGTTGATTTTGTGGCAGTTAATTTGTGAATGAATTGCACTTGTGTATGTTTATGTTCCTGTCTGAAGATATCAAAGGATGTGGTGTCATTGCTGGCTCTGCAGTGTACTTATTCACCAGTGCATAACAAGAGACTAGAAACTTGTCATCCGCTCTGCCAATGTTTGCTGTCAGTTTTGTTGCTTGACTGTCTTCTTGGAGCCAATCTTCAAAGCAGCTTGGTACCTGTTGGGAAGACCCTTTCATCCTTCTAACTTCTCATAGTAATGGCCTCCCACTGTCTTCTTTTGTTGGCTAACATGCCCAGGAATGTTAAGCACTAAGTTGCATTGCTTTCCATTTTCATCCCATTTTTACTTAACCATCATTTTGTTTTTGTTTTTTTTTCTGTTTAGCCTTAAAGAAGAATAATATCACTAAATTTCCAAATGTTCACTCGAGGGTAAGGATTTCTTCTAGCACACCGGTGGTGGAGGATACACAGAGCTGGCAAGCATCACTTTTTACTTAGCTTCCTCCTCTCTCTGTATGCACATCAATGGTTTCAGTGTATGGCTGAGGGTAATACTGGTGAGAGTCTGACCAGGGAGAAGTCTTTTTAACCTCACATTCCAAAGATGTGAGTCTGGATCTCTCTGTTGAACTCTTCTTGGCCTGCTTCCATGTTCTCAAGTGTGATGGCTTGAGCCAAGGGTATTTTGCTGGATTGTACTTGCTCTGGGTGCTGGGCTTCTTACCCTCTTCTTGGCATTCAAGTTACTCGGTTCTTTGATCTAAAGAAATTGAGAATAGGTCCAGGCCAGGGAATATGACTTATAATCTTTGAAGAGGGTTTAGGATTTTTAGAAAGGAACAAGACTCAAGAACTCCTGCAGGGAGTTTACAAAAAAAAAAAAAAGACAACTAGTTGCCACTGATTCTGACACATGGCAACTCCGTATGTCAGATCAGAGTAGTGCTTTACAGGGTTTTCAATGGCTGTGACCTTTCAGAAGTAGATTTCCAGGCCTTTCTTCTGAGGTACCTGAATGGATTTAGAATGCCAGTGTGCAGGGTCAAGAAGGTAACAGGCCTGAGAATATAGGAGTCATCTTCAACTGTGCTCCAGGTTATTTTACAGGAATTTGGGCCCAGTACTCCAGGTCTTTTCAGAAGAAGGCAGAATCAGTTTTTTGTTTTTTAGTGCTAATTACCAGTTTAAAAGTGAGAAAACTATTTTTTTTCCTAAACCTTTTATTGTGAACTGAGTGAAGGTTTATAGAGTAGATTATCAGTTTTACATTCAACAAATTATAAATGAGGGAGGCCAAACATTCTGTGGTCCTGGCAATACCCCAACAGTAACAGGGCTTTTAATTTTTTTTCTGAATGTGCATTCATAAACTAGAGAATGCAGAAGGGCCCATATAGCTTCACTCCTGTAATGAAAATAAAAAAATACTGGGTGGCAAGGAATAGAGTATTACTGTGAATTTGAACATTATTTAGGTCTCTAGGGGTGGGGGCAGGGGACTATGCCTCAACTATTTCCAGTTGAAGAAAATATTTCACAATCAATTTTCAAGTTATTCTGGTCAGTGAGAAAAATATTCTATGTATTTTTTATCTCTATATGTGCCAGAATCCCACCAGTATTACATCCTACTTTTATATATATTAGTTGACTCTTCTACACAAGCTGCTTTGATTGGCTGCCAGCTGGCCTTTTTAATGCTTAGACACATAGCATTAAAAGCTATCATTCTCTTACCATTGATCTCCTTTTTTTACAGATCTTAGAAACCAGCCATACAGACGGGCCGATGCGGTGAGGAGAAGCGTCAGAAGGCGCTTTGATGATCAGAACTTACGTTCTGTTAATGGTGCCGAAATAACGATGTGAGCTCAAGACCTGCCTGCATGAATAGAGGGTGTGTGTGAACGAAACTGTGTCCTTATAAATATGCTGCTGTTTAATGGCAACCCTGAACACAGATGTAACATTAAGGGCTCAGATTTAGCAAATTCATAGGAATATTAAAAATGGGTTCTCTTTTTTCAACCCTTGTTAACAAGTGCCTAAAAGTGGAAGTACCTGCTCAGATTTAATCAAAGCAATAGGATTTAATTTTTAAATCAATGTTCAGTTTTTTAACCAAAATGTAAATTTCATTATTACATTCATTACCTGTCATTGTGATTGTCTCCTGATGGCCTACCCTGGTTTCTGATAAGTTATAAATAACACAGAAGCATCTGCTGTGGGCTATTAAGTACTTTTGTTCCAGCCATATGTGTTAACTTTGTATTTTTAAGGGCTTGCAACATGGAAGAAGGAAATACTCATCTGGTAAACTTCTCCCTCTGCCAAGTGCAGATGCAATTGCAGTGGCACAGAAGTCACCCAACCAGTTTCACATTGTGTATTTTCTGTGCTCCAGTATGTTGCCCTTGAGAGCTGTTACTGGTTATGAATGCAAGGCTATAATGGTATATAAACTGTTGTATTAAGATTTGCAACACTGTTCTTCAGCTAGAGGCAGCTTTTTAAACAATGCAAATGTATTTATTAATTAGCACTAAAATTAACATCTCAGCAATCAGTATTCCGATTTCTGAGGACCATTATTGTCAACCCTGAGAACAGAAAATTGTTGGTGCCTTGCTAGCAACGAAATTTACTAGCTCTATAGATAGCACTCAAGATTACATCTGCTAGCAGTAGTATTAATAACCTGGCCTTATTCTCCTGACAATCGCAGGGTTTGTTTTTTAATTGGAAAAAATACATTGGACATCTGTATGGGTTAGAAAGTTCTTGTATTTCCCAGATTACTTCATGGGGAATTGGAATGAAGTTGCTGAAATATTCACATTGGAATTAAGCTTAAGTGATGAGACTAAATGGCCAACTAAGCCAGTTATTTTTCCTTCCTCTCCGGCAGGGCACTTGATTTATTCCCAAGTAACAAAGTGGAGTGAAGCTAAATTTGTACTTTTCATAATATACATTCTGCTTTTGGCTTACCTTCTTGGTACATCAATTATTAATTGTAAAATTTATTGTATAGTATTTAACCACTGAATTTCCTATTTTGTTGTGCTTATGTGAGCCCCTTGGTGAAAGTCCCATTTTCCTTGGATAATGTGTAGTTATGACCTTTTAAAATGTACAGATATTTTGCTATAAAATTGGTGCAGTTTTTTATGGTTTTTACACTTCTCTTTAATTCCCACCTAAGCCTCTGGGTAATATTGTAAATATTGTTTTAAAATGCATCAGTCTATGCTATACAATCTGAATGTTATTTTAACTTATAGTTTTGTTTTTTTTAAAAATATATTTAACTACAAGGACAGTTTAGGGATCAGTTACCACATTTCACTTATGTACCTATTTACAGAAAGATTACTTTTAAACTGTCACTGCTGGCACATTTTCATGTGTACTTAAAAAAATAGAAACAAAAAAAAAACAATAAACCAATTAATTTTGAAAAAATAGCAATCTGACCATCAAATAACCCAGTATTTGGTCCCAAGCAGCTGCTCTCCAAAGCTCGATGCTGACATGCATATTTCAAAATAACCACCTATTTATTAATCTAGAAATAGACAATAATGTTGGTAAGTTCTTTTGTTTATTAATGGGCCTGCTTCTTAGCAATATTAGAAATGTTTTATAAAGGCAGTTCATGTTACTGTTACTTTTCTGGTCTTTTCATGGCATATGAGCAAATAAACTATTTACACTACTATCCCATAATAACATTGTAGTTTGTTAATAGAACATTTTGGGGGGTTTAAGCAAGACTGTCTTGCTATTTGAACTTTTAAATCTAAATATATTTGGTCCATTTGAAGAAGAATACACCCTCCTGCTAACCTAATTATCTCCTGAGGAACAGCTGATAAATTTGAACTGCAGACATGTGATTACCAGCCCAACATATAACCCACTGCACCACTATAGAGTTCCTTGTCTCAAATGTAGGAAACCAAATAGATTTTGTTAATGAGGAATATGTCTCCAAAATCACACAAAAAAAGCTTACTGCTTCAACGAAACAGTGCTCTTGTTTTTACGTGAGCTATATCATCTCTCTTATTCTGAATATAAAGATAAGTATGTGCAACCATCAAATTCACTGATTGGCAATGTACCTCAAGGCAGTTGGAAGCTTTTGCTACTGTCTTTTTATGAAAGCTTTTCAGAAAACCTTCCAAAGGGCTTAATAAAACTTTGTTGTTAAGTGCCTTCAAGTCTATTCATAAAGACCATGTATAGTGTTTCTAAGGAGCAGCTGGTTGAGTTTGAACTGCCGACCTTTCAGTTCCAACTGACCCTGCAGTCTAGTGCTTATCATATACCACCACACCAGGACTCCTAATAAAACAAATGCCGTCAACTCAGTTCCAATCCATAGTGACACTGTATATGTTTCTGTCCTGAGGTGTGGTTGGTGGGTTTGAACTGCCAGTGTCGACCTTGTGGTTCTAAGTAAGCATTATCCTGCAGGGTATGTATCAGTCATTTAAGAAATTGTACCAATAAATGATCATTCTTTGTCACTGTCTCGCTTTATATTGTCATTTTGCTGTTAAAGAGATTGTATGAATTAAAGATCTTTATTCCTCACAAGCAACCTGTGCGGTGGATACCATGGTATTCTCTCCATATTAATGCACATATAAAACATGCATGCTAATAGTGCAGAAACAGTCATGCTACTGTATCCGTGAGGAAACTGACTCAGTCAAACTAAATGCCTAGGATCACAAATAAGAACTTATATATTCAAATCTTTCCACTATACCAGTTATTGTTGTTTTTAAGTGCCATCGAGTTGGTTCTGACCCATAGCGTCTTTGCATAGGGTTTCCAAGGAGTGACTGGTGAGCTTGAACTGCCGAGCTTGCAGTTCCAACGGCTTTGCAGTCTGGCGTGTTAACCCACAGCGCCACACCAGGATTCCATATTAGTTATACATGTCGTCAATGCTTTATTTTATAAGGGCTGAAAAAGTTAAAATTCTAGAGCTGGTAAAAATCTCTATGGTTTGTTTTATAAGTTGTTGTTAAAATGCTAAATGGAGTAGATTTTGACTCACAGTGACCCTGAATAGGGTTTCTGAGACTTATCTTCAAAAGAGCAGAAAGCCTCATCTTTCTCCTGTGGAACGACTAAGCAGGATCAAACCACGAATCTTGTCTTTAGAAGTCCAGTGCTTATCGGATGGGAGCCATCGAGTGCCTAATAAAGAAACTTTAAAGGTCTCAAATATTTCACATATTCAGGATGTTTTCAAACCCAAAACTATAGCAGTAGTTTCAACTGAAAAAGATATGGTTAGGTTTAGAGCGTTATCTATCAGCAGCTCAATATTGACATAGCATGGACCTAGTATTATGAGCCCTGTTCTCCACTCCAAACCTCTTAACATTAAATTTTACTGCATTGCGCAGCAATCCTTGAGCTCTACACTAAGTGTAGAACAGAACTTGACAGTCATTACTAACGCTTGCTTTTTTATTCAGCATACTAGATTTTCTTCTGAAAATTACCTACTTAAGATGTACTTCCTTAACTAGCCTTACAATTCATAAACACAGTATTTGCTGAAACAAAACTTTCTCATATTCCTAATACATTTTCAGATTATTATTGCCTAAAAGAAATGTCTGTAAAGATTAACATGCGATCAATATGTTGTTGTTGTTAAGTACCATGGAGTTGGTTCCAACTCATAGCGACCCTGCATAGGGTTTCCGAGGCTGTAAATCTTTACGGGAGCAGAAAGCCTCATCTTTCTCCTGCGGAGCAGCTGGTAGTTTCAAACTGCTGAGGTTAACAGCCCAATTAGTAACCACTATGCAGGACTAGTTTGTAGTATTCTGTGTATAATACTACTTTCTCATTTACTTAGAAAAAAATTTGATGAAATATGCATTAAATTATTGATAATGTTATTACCCTAAAAACATTGTGGACAGGTAGCAACTCACAGCACAGAACTGCTGCCTTAGAAAAGTTGATACAACCAAATCATTTAGTAAATACGATGCCATTATATTTTTCTATAAATTATATTTATTTACAAAAAGTCTGATTTTTATATAAAGTTCTTTATTTACATCAGAACAATATATAAACAAAATCTGGCGATTACACCGAAAATAGAAATCTTTTTCCCTCTTTACTCACCTTTTAGAACAAGTCCTATTTATTTGTAGAGACAGGCAAGACAACACTTACCAAAAATGTTTGTAAGACCAAAAAAAAAAAAAAGTTTATAAATAGTACAGATACCCACGGAATAGCAGAATTATCAAGAAATTTTGTTTCAGTCGAAACCAATTAGGCAGCCACTTACTGTGTTACAATCTTTGAAAATTAGGGAACATAGGCAATACATCAAATTAAGGAACGTAAGCTAGATAGACAAGTGAAATAAATTGGAGATAAATGACGGAAGTTATGTAGGTGATTGAAGTAAAATATTTTCTACTCCACTTCTAAGTCAGCTCTAAGGTGTCCTGGAGTTAAAGCTGCACAGTCAGTGGTTCTAGCTCACCAGCCACTCCTCAGAAACCCTTTCCAAGGTCACTACTGAGTCGGAACTGACTTGACAGCACTTACAGCAATGGACCACTCAAGCGCCTGCTAAATTAGGAAACCCTGAGATGGCTCACTCTTATTAACTCCATTTAAAAAACCCATTGCTGTGCAGTCGATTCTTTCTTAGTGAGTGACCCTATAGAACTGCCTATTACGATTTTCAAGGCTATTACTTTTTATGGTCACCTCTTTCTCTCAAGGAGCAGCTGTGATAGATTTCAACCACAGACCTTTTAGTTAGCAACTGAACACTTAACCACTGCACTATGACTCCATATCAACTC